CTCGTTCATCTCGGTGTAGTATAGAGGCGCATTATTATTGTACTTATTTGAATACGATGATAAATCATCACAAACCAAAAACCTATTTTAAGTAAAGCTAGCTATTTTTTACTATACACTATTATAATATTTTTATGACATTGCTAAAAATATTAAAATTACTTAAACACGTATAATATTATAATTAACAGGAATAATGATAAAAAATGCTGAAAATTTGTTGTTGAATATATGATATCCAAATCTTAAAACTAAGAAAATGTCATAACCTATATGAAATTTCAGTTAATAATATAATAAATTTTTAATTTTAAAAATCGTAATAATTCAATCTTCAAAATCCTATAAAAGATTGCTAACCAGTAATTTTAAATTTAGGGTTTTTAAATATTATAAAAAGAAGAAAAAAAATTCAATATTATATATCTCTATATTTCTTTCATTTTATGTTTCAGATGATTAGATTGATATAGCCATGGTTAACCTATGTTTAAATAATATTTTCGTTTCTAAGAAATAAAAATATTATAAGTTATGACAAAAAAAAAAAAAAAAAAAAATAAAATAAAATCTTAATACACTTATTTTATATGTTACTTATTTAATGGAAAAATATGTTTAAATAATGTATATTTAATCCATTATAATAAATTGATTAAAAATCTGTCTTTTTTCAATTAATGAAAACACTTTTCATACTTCTTCATTTTGCGATGATCGATATAATAATGCTACATTTTTATATTGTGTACAACTTCATTACTTTTATCATTTTCTTTGCATGTTTATATAATTATGGAACTTTAATTTTCTATTTACTTTTAGTCATATTAGAGTTTAAAATATTTATGTTATTATTTCTTATACTATATGTTTAAAATTTAATAAATTAAAGTAATTAAATGGTTTGTTTGATAATGAATACAGTTTAAAATTCCCGAGGAATATTATCTGTATACATTTTTAAGAAATAATGTATATAATACTATAAGAAAGTACCAACACTAAAATTTTGGAGAAAATAATATACAATGACTTATTTAATTTTGAAATTAAACGAATATCTAACGATATTATAATATTATTTAAGTATCCAAGTCATAAAAATGTAGATAGTTTAGCAATTTACATAGATTCTGAGTATCGCAGGTATTGGATTAACAATGATAAATAAGTTTTTTTTAACACTAGAAAAACTCTTTTTTATAGTATTAAAAAAAAATGTCTATACAGCACTTAAAAAGATTGCTTTCTTGCATTTTTTCCTTTAAAAGAGTATTTTTTAAATTTCATACCTAATTTTCAGTTATTTTTTGAAAAAATCGTAAAAATAGCAACAGAAAAACAAAAAAAAAACTATTAACATAGCATTATTTTCAATAAAATCTTTACCAATTTTAGATTGATTTAGAAATGTTATTCGAATGATATAGTAATGTACCAATAGACCTCAAACTCACAGCTATCATTTCTAGTAACCTATTCTTCTAGTATCTTATATTTCTAGTATTCAATTCTTGTATCATTTTGTATACATTTGGATATTCATTTATGTTTTAATTTTTTTTCTATTATCTATGAATCTTATAGGATTAGTTTTAAAAACTAGAGGTTATTTTATTTTGTGTCATAAATATAAAAATATAATAAATAAAATATTTTAAGGATTGTTATTTTTAAAATTGTAATACAATTTAATAAAGAACGATTTAATATATTGTATAATAGAGTTTCTATTTAAAATATAAAAAAAAAACTTTTTTTATATTTTATACTTTGCTATATTCCTTAATAAGTAGATAAATCAAATTTATCATTAAATTAATTAAAACTTATAACTTTTGTGCTGTCGTTTTTTATAAATATATTTCTTATTCTTAATTTTTTAACTGATAGTTTAATTCTTGGAAATAAAATATGATTATGATAATTTATATTAGAAAAATATATTGATTTCATGTTAAAATTAAATGTTAAAGTTTTATGTGTGCTCAGAGTGGATATCGATTATGGATCAAATATCTTACCTAAAAATATAGGAATTACGTATGTATCAACTATGCGACTGTGTAATTTTTTCTTAATTCATACTTCTATAAATATAAAGTAATTGAAAATTTTTTGGGCTTTAATTTTATTGTTACATAAAGTAAAAATATTTTATGACAATATTATAGTTCATAAACAAGTATAAAAGCTCGAGCATTTGTTGATAAAATTTTATTAAAAGTTAATTACAATTTTATTTCTAAAAAGTATTAAAAAAAATATGCAACCACTGTAATTCTATAGCTGGAAACGTATAGATATTAATACTATATTCTATAATTTGTTATATATTTAATTGAATAATATACAACGACATAAATTATAATAGTTTCTACAATACAACAACACAACAATACAATAAAATTAAAAAGTTGTAATATACTTAAAATTGTCTGATTTACAATAAATTCTATTATCAGAGAATGTAACGGAAATTAAATCGAATTTAAAAAAAGAAATAGGTAAACTGTCAAAAATATTGTGATAAAAGCATTGTTTAATCATTGTTTGTAATTATTCTTACCATTATATATGAGGTATTTATTAGTTACGCATTAAGTATGATACAATATTACATAGTGTATATTAAATATAATAACAAACCATATTATTTTAGTATATGATAATTTTATTGTAATTTAATGTTTAAACAAGATATAATATTTGTATAATACGCCTTCTAAACATTCCTACGTATGTAAATAGCTCTAGATGTGAATATATTTTATTTTATAATCAAAGTAACTGGATAATGCAAACATATATTTTCAATTTACATCATTTTTTGGATACAACTATATTGTAATACCAAATATTTTTACTATGATTATTTTTTTAAACGCATTTACTTATTGTACCAATTTTGTGCAGTTTGTTTGTTTGTTTTTTATAATCATTTGTTTTACTTAACAAATAGTACTTGTTAAGTACTAAATTAATTAATTGTTTGTGCCACATAACATTTGCTCAATTTATCAATTAAATTTTCTTCTGTTATTTATAACTTAATGAAAACTATTAATATATAATATATGTTTATATACCACATAATTTAAAGAATCCTCAGAAATATTTTTATATAATACATTCAAGTAGTCATTTTATAAGATAAAAATTAAAAAAAAATCGAATACTCGAAAAACTTATTAACAGGGACAAACATGGTATAGGATATCATTCTATGTACATTATGTTCAATTGTATGCAAAGGTTACGTAAAACTTCTTTTCAAATATCTGATGCATGATGATACATACACACACACACACACACACACATACAAGGAAAAATGTAGGAAGAAAAAGGTAAATTGGATCGAATAACATATGTTATATTTTGATATTTGAACATTGATGACATTTATCCAGTTTGATACCTTCACTTTTAATTGGATGACTTACATAACTTAAAATAAAATGTAATACGTTTTATTGTGACAGTTCACTGGATTTGAAAACTCGTCGTTGCATTAGGATGGTACTCTAATTGCATTCAATGTATTTTTCCATCAATTGGCATGTCAACAAAGTTTTATAATTTGTATTGATTATTTAAAATTATTTTGAAATGATAAACATTCGTATCAAATTTTACTTGAATTGTAATAAATTCTATTTTAAGTGGCGGTATAATGCAATTAGATGCAAATAATAATTTTGGATAATTATCTTTAACAACCGCCGCAACAAATATGGTAAATTCATTTAAAATTTATATTAATTGTTAAAACGTTAAATTCTGAAGACTATTATTGCAATATAAATACTTTGATTATACACAATATTATAATCATTATTATATGATAGTTTATGTTCGTATAAACAATAACGTTTAACAAAATGTTATATTAATGGAATATTGTAAAAATATATTTTTTACGAATTCCGATAATATTTAAATCTGTTAAGCAAATAACATGTGAATATGAGTAGCAATATTGCATAACCATGACGCCGGGTGTAATACTAATGTAAACATATTAGTACATGCACACCATAATACATATTATTATCATGTCGTGAACCGTATATTTTTATTTATATTATAGTACGTGATAGAATACTAATAGTTTTGAAATGAACAAAAAAAAAGCGTATTGATTCTATTTTTTTCAATAATTCGGGCACCGGACAAGTGGACAATAGCAATATGCGATTCACGCAATATATCGTGTTGTTGTGTTTCGAGATATTATATATTATCATTATCTACCATTGTTTTGCCTTGTTTGATGGACACAAATAATTATGATCTTTGAACTGTGCTACAGCAATAGAGGTCGAACAAGAGTGACGTACATAGTCAATGATGTTCAAACGAAGGCGTTATTTATCCAGTTTTAACCCTTCGTTAGTGTGTAGACGTTTTTTGCATCTTTGGTGTGTTTGGATTTATTAAGCCCCAAAATTTGAAATTACATAAAATCAACGTTATAGTTTTACTTTTATTAAAATTGAATTAAATAACAATTGTTAACAAATAAATAAATCAACAAAAAAAAATTATAATTTTTAGTAACATTTTAATAACATTTTACAAGGAAAATAAATTTTACTATTAACTATAAAACATTTTTGCAATAAATAAGATACTATATGAAGAAGATTTTCATATAGGTAAAAATTTGATCGAGTTCAATCACTAGTATTATCATGAAAAATCTTATCACGTGGTGCTTAATAAATCCCAACACACTGATGAAGGGTTAATACGGAAATAGTGTAAAAGGGCTTGTGGAGTACTCACAGACATTTGTAGAGTGGTATGGATGGGGAGTATTAAACGACAGTATTTAACGAGATATGGAGATATCGTCGGGGTCTTTAAAAACGGAGTACTTTTAACAAAAACATTTTCGCACTGTACCGTACACTGCATATATTTATAAAATAAATATGGTATATGGTATGACTGAATACAAAAATAATTAATTTTCAGCGTTTCATTATTACCTGTTTTTCAGCCACTTGCCGTGTGGAAAACCGTTTGATGAATGAGTCCTCCCTCTGCAACGTTGGTTTTGATGTCTTTATCGTCGAGGATATAGCACTAGACAACTGCACGGTTGTCCTGAGTTTCATCCATCTCTGATTGCTCCTGCTTCTATGGAAAATTCGTAATGCTGAGTTAACGTTCATATAATATCTTTTGTTAAATATAAATTATTATCGTGTTTTACTGTTACGTAATTGTGTATAACTCAATATAGAAATTTATTTCTAATTTAGATATTAAAGAGTAAATATTGAGATCACGAAATAATTTACGACACAGATAACTTTATATCTATATTGTATAGCATAATTATTTTAATATTATTTAAGCATCTACAGAATATTATAAAACAATATTATATAGTTTAGCTAACGTATAATTGAATCAAACCATTATTGGATGATTGTTTATTGTTAATAACAATTCGATTTATTGGGTTGTTTAATGCATAATTAGTATTCCGTTTAGGTACTGTGAAAGGAAAATTAGTTCTGGCAAGTGGCATTAAATGTTGGGACTTTGAAGTCCCCTAGCCGTGTTATAGTTGTATAGTTTATAGGACATTCTATTTTACCCGTTATTCATTTTTGCATGAATTCCATATCATTGGACTTTCTTGTATTTTAGACATTTGTACTAGAAAATAAGCACCATGACCATTCCTAGCAGTTTTGGGGTCATATACCTAGGTAATTGAAATACCATCATTCTTAAAAAATATTATATTTACATATTTTTCAATTTATTTTTCGGATCTTTTGTTGTCTAAAGTTCTATATAAATTCTATACAAACGCATATTAAAGAATTTATCTTACGAGTGCACTATATAAGTCTTCAAAACAAATGAGATTGCTAAGTTCGCTATAATCATTGCATGTTTTTAAAATCCCACCATCTTAAATATCTTAAAAATAAATCGTGTTGGTGTTAATAATAAGCTTTAAAATGAAGGACATAATAAACTACACAAAAATATTAAAACGCTGCCGTTCATAAAATCAGAATCGATTACTGTGTACAAACTTTCAGAATATTTATGAACAATCCATTAACCACATTACATATTATTCAAGCCACACTGAAGTATGATAATTATTAATTACATCCCCGGGGGACTGAATACTCGTGCACGTTATCGGATCATCGGTAAACCTTAAATGGTTGTATTATTTAAATGTTTTACCTATATCATTAATGAATAGCAGGAACAAAAAAGACTACAAAGTCAAGTGCAATGCAACTAATATAGATAAAAGCTTTTCAATTGTATCCACGAAAAAACGATTATTTGATAAATATGACGGTTTCTTCACTTAAGCGTCTCAAACTATATAATATAATAGTGAATAGATGATTCTAGGGAGTCATCCTATAGTTTATGCATTTTTTTCTTTTGAACTCAAACACAGCTGCTTTATCATCCATCATTCAGTTTAGATCGGAACATGACTCGATAAAAAATAAAATAACCTCAAACTGCATATATTAAATACTCTTTATTCCAAGTCTTTTATGAATGAATTTTAAGGTTATTCTTGTGTATAATTAATATTTTGTCTAAAAAAAGTCTTAAGCGAAAAACTTGAAAACCTTTACATTGTATTCACACTAAATCATGAATATTTAGTATTATTTTTATTACTATTATACATATTATTTATTATTTTTAACACTTTATTCGGATTAATGCTTGTATATTATTATGATTTCTATGATACGCGCTATAAATATTAAGTGAACTAACAAATTCGTTGTATTTAATATTAACTCATTTCATTATTCGAAGTTATGACGGAATAATAATAATAATAATAATAGTAATAGTAATAATAGATATATATTAAATTAAAATAATAGAATAAATAAGTAACATTTCAAAGGATAAGAGTACAGTATTGAAAGACTAAATTTATAAATAAACGACAAGTGTTAGCGTAAATGGCTATATAAATGATATTTGCATCTAACCGTCATGAAAGAAAAAAATAATAAAAATTTAGTATTAATAGTTAATACAAATACTAAATACACACACAAAATTTACATATATATATATCAGTAGGCCATAGTTTTGTGGCTTGTGATAAATTAAACAATGGTGATCTAAAGTACGGTGTATATTTTATTTGCATATTTACACGTAAAAAAATGTTTGAAATATTTTTCGATATATTTATTATTTTTAAATTGCGTTCATTCTATTTGGTTGATTCAGTGTACTGAATTCAATAATGCTTAATTTTAATTTATTAAAAAATAGAAATGTGTTAAAATAACAATAATTATTTTAATTTCAAAAAAAATATGTTGCTAGAGCATATATATTCAAGTATGGCTACCTACACTGAACGCCCACTTCAATGAAAACGACTACGCTTAAAATCACGTGTATGACAAATTTAATTCGGAAATGCTCATTATAAGCTTTAAAATTATAATATGAGTATATTATAACTCATTATTATAATATGTGTGTCAGGTTTACAAAGACTAAAAATTTATTTTCTATAATAGGTTTGTATAGTGTTTACGTATGACCATCGAGGTAATACAAAAGATAATAGATACCTTAAAAAAAAATAAACATTTTTTTTTCTGTTGCTAGCGTCAATAAAAATAAAAGAATTGTCAAATGTAACTTATGTAATAACTTTTTTTTCTACCGACGCATGTAAGAAACCCTAAAATATCAATTTTCGTGATTTAGTTATGTGGAATGGTTTTAATGCATTCATATTATTATCAGTATCGATTTTTGGAACCAAAATTGTGTACAAACTCCATTAAAAGTTTTATATTATAAGTATATATTCACAACTGAAATTATATCACAAAATTTCACCAGTAACAAATAAAATCGATTAACAGTCAAATCATCAAAGAAGCTATTGTTGATTCGTTTACTTAAGAAAATTACATACATTTTATAATCTCTTATACGGTGTCATTATATTATAATAGGTTGCTTAAATTGATTTTCAAGTAAAACCTAGTAAATTGTATTTTAATTTTCGCGGCATTAAAATTGTGAACTACCGTTGCAAATTTTATTGTTATTGTATATGTTAGACGATCATAAAAAATACGACTAAACGTCTTCAAAATAATAAATCATAAATTACATGTTTTATGGAAAATGTTATATTTTTAAAATTTTTATCTCGACTAAATTAAACTAATTTGTAATAAGCAAAACGTTTGTTTATTCCTTCAACATACAAACGCACTTTGACTGCCATTTTTTTTTTATTATTAATATTTAACACAGCCTATATGGTTTATAATGTACTATTATTAATTATCGACGTTTATTTAAAATAAGTAATTTATTTAACGTTTATTATATTATATACAACTTTACCAGTCCATTAGTATAATAGCCTGGTATTCATATTATTTCTTTTATATTAATTTTGTACTGAATAATATATATATATATATATATATAAATCAAGAACTTTTTATGAAATTCTAAACACGTATATCAGTTCAATAGTTGTAACGCGGAGAAAAAAACAAAAACGAATTCAACGTTAAAAAATTCAGTGATTTAAAGTAGAGTCAAAAATTTTTAAATAAAAGATTTAAAAAAAATACATACAATAGAAATATAGCATACAAGAAAATTTTTGATGAACTTAAATCACATATAAATATAAAAAAAAAATATTTGCTTTTTTTTTTATAAAAACCACCATTCTAATAATAAAATTATAATTATTATTTTTAAACGTAGTAAATGATTACAGTTTTATGAAAGTTAAATTTGAAACCAAATAAAAGAAGTTAAAATAAATTTAAAACTATATTATTTATCATTAATTCAAATTTTTTACAAACGTTATATGTTTTTACAATACTATACTATGTACATTAAATTAAATTACTTAGTTATTTTCACTTAATATCAAATTATTTGAACTAAATTCTGTTGATAAAATCTTATTATTTTGTTGTTAGCAAAGTAATTTTATAAATTTTAGAACAAATATTTCAATATTCAGCATCATTATTTTTACTTATTAGAATAGGTATTGGTAAAGAATTGGTAATACATTGATTCGGATTATAAAAAAAATAACTGTTAATAGTTTCTTGGCAACAATTAATTCCCCAAAACTGTCTACTACAATTAACCTATGGTACATAGACTTACAAGAAGGACCGTCTGCACTTGTATTATAATACATCAGTATTATCAAGCAGACAAAATTAGATTGGTAATAAACAACTTTAATTTTTTTTATACAAAATTGTATTACACATAGGCACTATATATTAAAGTTAAACTTTCGTACGTATTATGTACAGACGTACAGTGTTTATATGTTTTACATTTTTATAAGTGCCTGGGACATAAAATTAACTACATATGAATATACATTTTAGTTTTAAATCGTATGTAACAACATAAACTCCGAACTGATTATAGAAATGATTGATTAAAAAGTTTCAGTAGATCTAATAAATTTCAGTGAACAACATGGTTTATTATCATTGTTCAAATATTGATGAAATTAAGCTAAGTTTTTTATGTATAGGTAAAGTATTATTTCGAAAAAAAACTCCGTTATAAATATTATTTTTGAAGTAGTATATATACATCATAGTTTACGATCAACACATAACACATGAAATAATGAAAAATTGGCAATGTGCCTTATTACAGTTTTATACGAATTAAAATCAATAATTTATGATAACCTTCAGTGTTCTTCGTCTTTCTAAGTAAGAGAATGCAATGCATCAAATTTAGTGAAATTCTGTCTAACTGTAGAAACGGTATACTTCATGGTAATTTTAATTCAATGAACACTATTAAACACATCAATAAGGTAAAGTGTAGACTAATAAAACTAGGATGAAAAAATAAATATAATACGTTACGAGTTATTAGACAATTAATCTTTGCCATACACATAAAATTCAAAATACTTTCGCAGTTACGTCGTTATAACACAACATTGTTAAGAACTGTCAATGTTGTGTCATCATCATTCAAAGTTTGTTATTGATGAAGAAACCCATAAAATTAAGTTTTTGTCTGTTTAGTTTCATAAAATTGCTTATCATTGAAAAATTTATGAGTATCGTTATTTTACAATA